GGCAAAAGATATGTTTTTAGTTGATTACTGCCTAAAAACCGAAGATTGCTTTTGTTTTCATCTCTTCATAATAAAATTTGAATCTATTGATAAATTATTTTCAATTTTTCAAGATTTTAGTATTTGAACACATGAACTTTTTATAAGGCATTATTTCTATTAAAGTAGTAGGGCAAATCACGAAAAAGATCCCATAAAAATTGTAAAATATCTGGAAGAAATTATAATGCACATTCGCAAGGTTTTATATATATTTCTTTTTATCGATTTATCAAAAAAACAACTTCTTTGAAAAAAGAAAATCAAACCCTTTTTATAAACTCAATAATTAGCACCTTTAAGCACTTTAAAAAAAAAAAAAACTTAACTACTTTTTAAAAACGCTACACACGATTAGTGATTTAATGAATTTAATTCAAAGAATCATTAAGTAGACAACACCATAAAACCCAATCCTGATCTCTTTATGTTATTGACAATAAAACTATCTTCTCATTCTCGTTTTCACCCCCATCTACCCCTTCCTCTCTTATTGAGTAGTGGAAAACTTCATGTTTTCTTGAAACCTGAGCTCGATACAGCTATACTTTAGAATTAGTGCAGTCTTGATAAATGATAAAGGTGGGAATGATAAATGCTTGTTTATACTTATGCAAAATTTATCAGTGGGCAATTCACAGCAATTGATTGTAATATATTTTTGATTGTTCAAATCGATATTGCTAAAAAAATTACAAACTTTCGAAAATTCTAGTTAGTCAGACGATGAATAGTTAGGTTACTGAAACAGTTCATGTATTTTTTTGAAAAAAATTTAAAATTTTGATAGTTTTAAAAAAATTTAAATTTCGTTTAAATTAATTTTAAAATTAAATGAACCATGTTATTACATAATAATAATAAGACATAATTATAAGACAATTAAAAAATAAACAAAATAATACAAAATTAAGTTCTTTAAGATAAATAGTTCTCTTGTTACAGTTGTTTAAAAAATATAAAAAATTAGTGAATTTTCAAAACTGTATAATTCAGAAGCAAATACTACAGAAACTATATGTTTTTCATGTCAGAGGCAGGTTTAAGAAACATGCCAAAAATAATTGAAATCTGAACTGATCAATTTTTTATTATTTTATTGCTTGATTTGATTGCTTTAGAAGAATTACATTTTTAACTCTGGACTCTTTTTTAAAGTATCAAACTTTTCAATGAGATCTGAGCTCCTAGCACCCAGGATCTTAGTAAAAATCCCAAATTTTGTGATTAGTAAATCATGTGAATAAGAATTGTGATGCATGAAAAAATTAATAACTCATATACTTAAAATACAGTAAGAGCCCAACTATTTGAAATGTATCAGCACATTTTGGATACTAGAGCACTGAAAATATATATTTAATATTACTTTATTTTCAGGGGGTAAGCTTTGCTGCTTAATTAAACAATAAATTACTGCAATCGACACTTATACAAAATAATGATAAAAGCAGAAAAAACTATAATATTTATATATCTAAATTATTAAATACACAGTAATATAATTAAATGCATGAAAAAATGCTAGAAAGTAAAGATAAAAAAAATAAAACTCTTATCTCTTTTTATTATTTGACACCAAAATCCTTAGTCAGTGTTTCTAGAAAAAATGTTGAGCAGTAAAGAAAAGAAGAAATGCAAAGGGGGAAGGAAAAAAAGGCATATTAGATCTATTGCTTACACAGAATAAAGATACATAAATGAAAGATGTTTTATCAGCTAGAAAGAAAAAATAAATAAAAACAAAAAAACTATTGAGTTCTTCATTCTTAAAACAAAACTTTAAAGCTGATAATCACATTTATCCATATTTATTATCATATTTTTTGAAAAAAAGGGATTATAAAAAGAATATCAGATGTGCTCTAAAAAATGCAGTAAGATAATGAAAACAAATATAAAAACCAAAATTTTTTTGAGAGGGAAAATATCAGAAAAACATCATTCTTAACTCTTTAAACAAAGCAAAAAATCTAATTTTTTCTCCATGACAATTAAAGACAGGAAGTCTATCAGAGTTTTTTTTAAAAAATGCAGCAACACAAAATTTTTTTTCAATAAAACAAAAATTTGGAAGAAAAATCCTTCTTACCTCCTAAAACAAAACTTTACAGCTAAAAGTTTTTTTTTGTAATACTACCATTTTATTACATCATATCATGCAGTTGACAATAAAAGAAATAAAAACAAAAAAGTATCAGAAATGCTTTTAAAAATGCTGCCTTATAATAAAAATACAAGTTTATTAAAAAAATTAATTGTTCTTAATACTCAAAACAAAACTTTAGTACTCAAAATCTCAGTTTTTTATATTACTTCATTTTCCGGTAACTGTTGCAGCAAAAATTAAATAAGTAAATTAGAAATTATTTAAATGCCATAATATAAGCAAATGTAAGACAAAGTTAATAAAATAAAATTGCAAATTGGAAGAAAACACAAAAAACAGAAAATCCTCAGCATTTAATCCAAATCTACTTATATTCATTACTTCTGCTCTTGTTCAATAATGATGAATAATGAATGATATTCATGTAGCTGGCACAGGCAATAAAGTTGTCAATTGAAAAACAATAAATTACATTATTTTTTTAAATTTTCCTTTACTGAACAAATAAAGTAAAATAAAATTAAACAAAATAGCTGAATTTCTCTAAGTTGGTGAAATGAGTTCAATCCAAATAAACTTCAACAAGTAACAGGTTCAACATCATAAAACATAAAAATAAAAATTTATCATTTTTTTATATTCATTTACTAATATTTTCCCTTCTTTCTGAGGAGAAATTTCTAATTCTCTTGAAATCTGACCACGACACAACTGTGTGCTTAAACTCAGGGCTCGAAAAAACTCAGAAATTTTACCCGTCCCCGAGGACGGCTTGCCCAACAATGTACCCGTCCTCCTTTGAAACTAACCCGTATCTTCTAAATAAATAAAAATATAATTCTCTCTTATTTATTACAAACATTTATATAAATTGCACAATGAATTAGTAGTTACTAGGATTACATTATACAGTAATAAGGTAACTAATAGAAACCCAGTATTTCTTTTATGAAATAATTTATTTCTTTTATGAAATAATTTATCTCTTATGAAATAATTTAAATGACAAAGGTCAAGTTATCTGGAATGTCAATTTATCCGAGGGTACTGCCTTTTTTAAATGAATCAAATATGACGTTTGCCAGTTATACAATCAAGCCAATGATTTACAGAGGTTTCTGTTAATTCCTTCGTTAGAAGTCCAAATGCACATGCACACAGCAACTTTTCTTTTGTTTACCGATTACGTGAGCATTTGGTCTGACGAAGGAATTAATGGGATTTCTAGATTAGAGGGTCATTTTAGAAGTGAGGCGCTAGACTCTTGTAAGATAACAAAAATTGAAAATGTATCATGAACATTATCGGAAAAACAGCCGTCCGGGCGGACGTCGGAATCGAGAAATTCGTTGTCCGCGGAGAATTTTTGACTGCCGAGGACAGGCGGACGGGCGGTTTTTCGAGCCCTGCTTAAACTAGAGCTGTTTTAGTTTAGCAGTGAATTGGAGAAAAAATAGTTCTGTTTAAACTAAATGCTTGCTTATGTTAACATAACATTAAAGAAGGGGGAGCATTCATTATTAATAGTATAATAACAATATAATAACATAATAATATAATAACTTTAATATTACAATTACATTAAAGAAGGGGGAGCATTCATTGACAACTGATTCGAATTTTAGAATGTTCAAACAAATTTTTTGAAAAAAAAAAAAAAAAACTTAGAAATTTAATTCTAGATAGTCGGGTTCTTACTGCATCAATCTCCTCCTCTAAACTTCATTTCAGTCAAGGAACAATTTTTCTTTTTTAATTAAAAAGATGCACATTTTCCCCTTTCTTAGAAAATATCAAAATGTCATGAAAAATATGTTTTTTTTTTTTNTTTTTTTTTTTTTTTTTTTTTTTTTTTTTTTTTTTTTTTTTTTTTTTTGAGAAAATGAAATATTTTGCGAACTGTGCAGTTTTATATAATATTTTGGTGAAACTTACTTATTGATGAGATGCTGTCAACTCTGTAATAAGTACCAAAATATACTTTTCACACAAATATTTGATTTGACAGAGAATAGCACCAATTACAGCTAATACATTTTTTCATGTAAAAATCCCAAAAATTTCTGAGGATCTATCATTCTAACTGTCAATTATTTTTACTGTTGCAGTCGTAAACAGTACAAAAATAAACAGTAATGAAAGTATATTCATAATGTAATAGCAATTTTTACAAAAAAAAAAAAAAAAAAAAAAAAACAATACTAAGGTAGATAAAAGAATAGGCAGTTCTTTTATCGATCTACAAAACATAATCTATAAACATCTAAATTTATCTACAAAACATTAAAACTTATTTTAGTATCCTTTAAGAATAAAAGGAAGTAAAATTCAAACTACGAATGTGATAACGAGTCAGATATGCAAACCTGCTGAAACTGAAATTCAAGAAGGAAAGAAATTTAAATGTATGGCATTGTAAACACTTAGTGAATCTATAATTAATCGATGCAATGTAATCTAATTATGAAGTGTATAAAAACAAACAGGGGGAAACAAAACTGAAAATCTTAAAAATAATCTTAGTACCATAAATCTAAGAAAAAAAAGGAAAAACATGTCCAATTGTTAGACCTCACAAGTGATGGAAAGCCATCCTGGTATTCATAGGTAGGTTAAAAAAAATTGTCAATTCACATAATACATAATGTTGATAATTTATAAATTTAATATTATCATTAAAGTTAATTTAGTAAAGCAGAACTTCGTTTGTTCTTAACTTAAGCAAAATATATATTTAATTCAAAAATACATTTAAAAAAAATGAAGATTTCAATAAAAATGAGAAAAAAGAGTATATAAATTAAATAATCATAATAAGTTTGAAATTAATAAATATGACTATAGTAACTACCTTTAGCATAATTTGTTATTCTACCAATTACTTCACAAGAGCTGAAACCAACTTCACTGGATAACAAAAAGTCACAAAATGTCTCAGGCCTCATTTTTAAGCTGCAGTAAGTCTTGTAGATTGAAGGCTGAAACATACAAATAGTAGAATATGAAGATGCAGGCAAATATAAAAATAACATTTTATACATAAAATCAATTAGGATGACTAGAAACACATGTAAAACAAAAAAGAAAATCTAAACAAAATATCCTGTAATTGTACCTAATGTCTCATATTAGCCCAAATGATTCAGCTTTAAAGTGGTCTGTGAATATTTCGGCTATCAGAAATAAAATAAATTTCAAAATTTATGATTCTATGGTGGTGATTTTTTTTATTTACAATAAAGACTAACTAACTGAGATATTATCAGGACCATTTTGTGGTCCCAAAGTATGGAAAACCTGTGTTTTGTAAAAAACCAGCGTGTGACTTAGCCAAAATATTTTAATTAAAAGTAGTATGCAGAGTTAGATGCATCATCATCATCCTTACGGATTACCTCAAATCTTAAGGTATGTGAGATTTGAATATAAATTAAAGTATAAAATGTTCAAAGGTGCTAAAAAAGATTACCAGTGTATTGCTGTTGAACTAAATTTAAAATTTTCAGATGAAAAAACTACTGCAGTATTAACTGATATTATCAAAAGCAGTGCAAGGCATATATATATATGGGGNCCAAATATATATATATATAAAAGTGACACTACATTAGTCAAAATTAAAGCAAATAATATTATTGGCAGATGAAAAGATGGAGAGTAGATACTTTAAACTGGAAAATTAAAAGTGGAGCAAGCGAAATGGAAATTGGAACTTGCTAAGTTGCAAGCAAAATTGCAGAGCAAAAGTTTCATTGAAAATGATTAAAAAAAAAAAAGACTGTTTAGACTCTCTCATTAAGAGTATAAGAACTTTAAAATTAAAACTAGACCAGAAGGCTGGTGCGATATTTTTCATCATTAGAGAGAATGTTCATCTTTATAAATGTTCTGGATAAATTTAAATCGGAAATTCTCAACTTGTCAAGAGAAAAAAAAAGCCACAAATGTAATTACATACATAAAAGATAATGAATTGGAGGATTATTCAAAAGTTAAAGCCATAGTATAAAGAGAACTTGAGCACTCTCGTCAAATTTGTTTAAAAAATGAAAAGAAAGCACAAAGAATAGTTTTGGATCAAATTAACTAAACACGGGATTCGGTAATTAGGAGTTTAAAAATATAAGAAAAGCAGATTCTTGGGTCAAACCATTAGAATTGCCTTAAGAAATAGATTTATATTATAGTTCAAAGGGTAGATAAATTCGAAATGTAATAATAAAAATCTCTCAGTATGTCTCAAGTATTCCAATGGATGAAAAAATTCTAAATGGAATTTTAAAAATGAAATTAATGTTTTGTCATTAGATCATATTGGGTTGTTCAGAAAGTAATTTCGTTTTTTGGGAGGAAAATGAAAGAAAATTTTCGCATAATGAATAAATAATTTATTAAATTATTTTTTGACAATTCTGGTCCAACACCTTTTGTCATCTTTCTGGTAGTAGCATGATTCCACGCTAATAAAATTTTTGGTCTTTGCTGGCAAAAAACTGATCTAGGAGATTTTTGATCTCTTCATTTGAAGTAAAGGTTTTACAGTCCAAAAAGTTTTGTAGCGACCGGAACAAGTAATAATCCGAAGGCGCCAGAGCTGGAGAATATGGTGGGTGTGGCAGTGCATCCCATTCTAGCTGTAAAAGCTTTTGGCAAGTGACCAAGCTTGTATGAGTTCTCGCATTATCTTGGTGGAACACTATACCTTTTCTGTTGATTAATTCTGGCCTTTTCTGTTGAAGAGCATCATTCAGTTTGTCCAGATGATGACAGTAGACTTCTGAATTAAGTGTTGTGTTATCCGGTAAAAGCTAAAAAAAAAAACCCATTCATTTTAAATCCAACCAAACAGACAGCATCATCTTTTTTTGTGGATATTGGCTTACGAAATGCTTTGAGCAGGTTCATCGTTTTGCTCCATGATCTCTTGCATTTGACATTGTTCTAGACAACCCATTTTTCGTCCCCAGTAATGATGCTCTTCAAAAATGAATAATTTTCATGACGTTTGAGAGGTGACTCACAGATGTCAATGCGACGACACAAATTTCTCACCCTGAGAAGAGGAACCCATATATCGAGCTTCGAGGTTAGACCCAGGCCTTTTAAGTGGTCATAAACAGTTTAATTCAATAAATTTAACCTCTCACCAATCTCACGTGCGGTTATTCGCCAATTTGCATTAACTAATGCCTTTATTGTGTCTTTATCAGCTTCAGCGGGCCTTTCAGAACGTGGTGCATCTTCGACATCAAAATTGCCGGATCGAAATTTTGCAAACCAATTCTGGCACTGGCGTACTGTCAACACATCTTATTCATACACATCGTTAAATTTTTTTCTGGCAGGAGCAGCATTTTGACCTTTTCTACAGTAAAAAAGTAAAATATGACGAAAATGCTGTTTATTGCTCACCATATTTAAAAGGGCACCAACCATAAAACTACTGCGTATAATTAATTGAACTTTTTCACACACAAGCCTTGCTATATCAGCTATCAAAACATATAATGATAATGCGGCTTAAGTGTGAAGTTGGGTTCGAAAAAATACAATTAAATCCTCCGTCGGAAAAACGAAATTACTTTCCAAACAACCCGATACATTTGCGTATATTATAGGGGCAGAACATTTTCTGGAATTCCATTTAGAATATTTTACATCAAAATACAGAATGGAATTAATCAAATTAAAATAACTATTTTAATTGCCTCAGAAACCAAAAAGTTTCGAGTTGTAAAAATAAAGAATTCTCTTGCACTTGCACATGCACAAGATACACAAACATCGAGAATCATCATCTTCTCCCCCCCCCCTAAAAGAAGGAAAGATAAAATGAATCACTAAAGGAAAAATATACAGTCTAGTCTACACGCTGAGGCACTGCTCATCGACCTTTTGATAGCTAATACTAACATAGATTAAAATTTAATTTTAACTACCAGCAATTTCAAGCATGATTTAAAGGCAGTTTTATTTGTTTAATTCGGGATGGTTAAGGAAAATGTTACACAATTAGAGGTTAATTTAAGTTTATCAAGTTTATTAAGTTTACACCATTTAAGTTTATCAAATAGGATTTCACTGATGGTGTTGATTGCATATTTGTCATGCTACATATAGTCACTGACTGTGACATATCTTACAATTTCTTTTTTTCTTCTTCTTCATACAATATAGTTGAGGAAGCCAAGTAAGAGCAGTGTATAAAGAGCACTGCCTGTGAGTCCAATGAGCTGACTTCACCTCCTTTTGAGTGAGGAAGGTAAAGTTCTCACTAAAGTTTACTTGTAAAACACACTTAATGAGATTCTGCCTAAGCTGCTTAAAATACTCAGATTGTGTTGATTTTTCATAGCAGTGTAATAAAAATTTTTCTTATTGGAACTCAAACTGGGACAGTATGCCTTAATTATGAAATTGAGCACATTCTTTGCTGCTATTATTTTTGTTCCGCTGATACCATTTTACAGGCTCTTGTAACTGATGATCAAGAATTGTTATCACAAACTGCTTAAAAAGGAAATTATTCTTACATTTTTCACACAATTAATTGAGCAATTGTCGCAAGTGGCCAGATTTATTAATTCCATGTCCTTATTTGTCAAACTGTGTGATTTTAATAGTAAATTCAGATTTTCGTGAATAGCACATGCACACACATGTGGTGTTTTATCTATGCATAAAACATAGATAGGTTGTAAACAGCAAACTTAGATTTGCCAATTTTTATGCTCAGATGCAACTGCTTTAAAGCTTGATATGCTTCCATCAAGTTACACAGCGTTTTTTTTTCTTCTTTTTTTCTGTGACTTTCTGTCCATTTCCTCTGACAATCACACACTCAGCTCTACCAGAAATCTGGTAAGAAAGTTTATCAGATGAGTAGAAATTTATAGCAAGTTTTTTTTGTTTCACCAGAAACTTTGTTAAAAGGCTGTTTCTTATGTTCTAGTAATAAGGTTACAGATTCACTGAGTCTGCATAGAATGGTACATTTTCTTGGAGATTCAGATAATGCACTTATTAATAACTTTCCAATATCTGAGGAGCATTGTAAAGAGAAAATCCTTCCCGAATTTCTACTGCTGGTATCAGTGCCTTTTTATTTATCCTTTTTTTTCAATTTATCTATTTCTCTGTTAAAGTTTTTCTTCAAAATATTTATATTATCATTTTTGTTTTATATTCTTTATCTTTCTTCTTACAATTATGTTCTTTTTCTTGGGGCATTCTAGTTCTATATTCTCTCATTACTCACTTGAAAAACTTTTAACTATAACACTATCAAATAAAAAAAAAAGACAGTTTTGTATAAAAATAATGTTCTAACAATGGGGGAACTGGTTTAAACTAGATAAACCAGGATGCGTTAGCACTTGTTTACATTCCTAGAGTTCTTCTTTAATAGCTAACCTTAAGCTTTGTTTACATCTTGTGTAACTGCGGGGACATTTAGCTTTGTCCTCTCTGTTACATCCTTTCTGTTAAATGAGAAACTTCAAAAAAAAAAAAAATAATTTCAAAAATATAACATAACATGATTGTACCAAGACTTTATTGTAAAAACCAATTATTAAGTTAAAAGATTTTTTATGTAATGAATAATATAAACTTAAAAGAATAATTGTATAGAAGGGACAAATACATCTTTTGAATAATTTTTTACTGAAAAAATACATAAAAAGATTTTTTTAAGGCAATCACTGCATAATTAGACTCACGAACAACTTATTTTAAAATATAAATTAAACAATATGTAAAATCATAATATTTTTATTAAGTTATTATTCTTTAAAATAGACAATATTTTTGACAGAATAAGTCAAAATCTTGAATGCCCTCTATTTATAATAAATTTAACAATAATCATGCACAACTCCTAAAAATAATTTCTGAATTAGACCTTAGTGCTTTTAGTGAAAATAATGAGAAAATCTTAAGTGCTATAAATCTAGAAGTTTCTAAAACTTTTATCTGG